TTTCATAGCTGCAATTAGGTTTAGGTTTGAGTAAGAAAGAAATTCTAGTGGACAGATGTTTTTTCACCCTCCCCTGGTAATATTCTGCATACAGATTATTAAAATAGATTGATAAAATGAGCTGCAATGCTGCCATCTAGTGGCTTTTATTTTCATAGACAGCTGTTTTTCCCCAGAACTATTTTTATGGCACATATCATTTGGCGTAACCCAGGCATTTCTTTATCGGATTTTTGAAGTCCAGATCTTACAGCAACTGAGACAAACTGAATAGATAAACTAAAGATGTTAGTGGTCAAATATTTAACTCACAGTTCCTTTTTTTAACCTCATTATACCTTTAATATCCTCGTTCAGCATCCGGGTTCCAGACTGAACCAAGATGAAGGTCGACGCAACAACGTAGAACCATCAAAACAATTCTCATTCACAGCCTCAGAGAAGAAACACAATCGAACCAACAACAACTGTGGAGTAGAACCAACAACAAGCCCTAACACAGCACTGTTGTTTCTGACGGATCCACAGATCACAGTCTGGGCCTCCAGCTCAGTTGGCAGTGACACGGCTCAGCAAATACCTCATGGCATTTTGCAGAACTTTATAGCACAACCACTTTGTGGGGAATGTTTCTCAAGGCGCAACGCTTTTATTTATCCAGAAAAAGAAGGGGGAAAAAAAGAAGGAAAATGAGAGATGAGAGGATCAGGTTCTACCGGAGCGTGATATTTGGACATCATTGAAATAAAGGGCGTTTATTGATATTCTATATGTTCTCCAGGGACAGTACGTCATGGTGCTGTCACTGTTCATTTAGACTGAAGGTCGTTCTAAATATTGTGATAAACGTTTTACATCAAGGGTTCAGATACGTTCAGGGACTGTCCATAGCCGTCACCACAGGTTCCAGCAGAGGGCACTAGACTGAAAGTCTTGTGGCGAAAAGAAAACGCTTTGTTTTGCTAAATTAGCAAAAAGCCATGCAATTGTCCAAGTTGAAAATAACATTACATTACCGCCACCTTATGGCTGGACTGTAGCAATAGTTAAACTGGTGTTTAACCAGGGAATTAATTAGGGATATTAACTGGCAAAAAGTTAATATCAGACATCACTATTAATAATTTATGATCACATCAAACCCTAACCCCTGGTGGATCGACGCTTCTTATCCACAAATCCATTCTCACTTCATTTATTTCAATATATTTGGCACAGTCACCTGATACTAGGTTCATATAAATAAAATATATTTATCTGTGTAATTTACATTTATTTTATATCCTTTCATTTGCATAACTCGTTAGTGTGTTCAGCCCTGTAGCAGCACAGACACACATCATGTACACACCCCCCCACACCATTTGCATGCTTTTAATTTTAACAGTGTTTTCCGAGTTCAGCCAATACCCCTGCTGCCAAAAAGGTAAAAGCTGACACAGTGTGGACCGATGGTGTTTTTTTTTAATCAGGGATTTCGTTATTATTGAAAAAGGTTGAATGCAAGGTTTTTTTTGGTATTCTGGAATGAGGGTTTGGTGTAAAAATGGTATCTCACGTTCAAGGATGTGACAGTGTAATAACTATCATGTCCTGATGGAGGAATCAGAGACGTTGAAGGTGAGGAATGCGAGGGCGGGAGGCGGTCGGTGACAGTTCAAAGTCGTACAAGTAGGACTGAAATCGATGCACTGGAAATGTCACCGTGCAGAAAGTCGAGCCGCATACGAAAACAGGACGGAACGGAAACTACAGATGTCGTGCTGAGCCTCCGCGGGCGGAGAATGTGTTTACACCTGCAGGTGAGGCTCCTGTCTTGGGTTGTCTCACAGGTTACAGGTTGTGTGTTTCAGTGTGTGTGTGTGTGTCCCTGCTGTATTCTCCTCATGTTCACTCTGTCTTTTGCATACCAAACAACCGTCGTCTACATCGGTGGTGGAATGCCCGAGGAGGATCACATTGCTTAATTAATTGACTTGAAGAGCAGGATAATAATGTCGATAACATTCTCGGGGAATATAAAGCGATGCGTTTTTATTGTATATAAAAATGATTTATCTCTAGCGCCACCTTTCTTCCACTCTAGATAAAGATTTTTAACAACAGTGTCCAACCTTAGGAAATACAAGTGTTGCATTCTTCACTGTGGACAACTTTGTGGCTTGCATGCTGACAGCAACACAGCAGTTTCACTGCCCCCTGTTGGAGGACTGACACTATAGCATATTTAAAAACGATAAATATTTTAAAAACTGGGTCCCATAATCTGGGTGAAATCCAGGCATCCAGGTTTTCCCTTCGATAACGATTTTTACCAATATAACATAGTTGTGCTAATATCGGTTCGCCAATATTATCGGACATCCCATTCAAAACTGACACAGTTGCAACATTAAAGAACAAGGCACTTTAGAGCAACTTTATAACATTTGTGATCTTCAGAAGAAAAAAAACAAAAAAAAAAAACTGAAGGCATCAAATAGAAAAAAGTTGTCCTGGACCTGTGTTTTCCGTTGCCGTAACAACCCTGCCTCTCTTACTGGCTGCCATGGCAATCATCAGAAATAGAGAACTGGAAAAATAATCATTTCATTTCGGCTCCAACAGTCAGGTTCAGAGTCAGTTTGTCTTCAAACCGCTGTTCCAGTGACAACAGCACTTAAAGACTGGACTCCTTCTTGAAGGAACAGGAAAAAACAAAAAACAAATATTAACTGACGTTATAAATGACGTTACTACTGCTTTTGCTGAAAGGCTAAATTTAAGAACCACATTTAGGAACTGCTGGGTCTGCTTTGCATTGTTAGCTTAAACAGTAATATTTTTTTTAAATTATGATACTTTAAAGTGGCAGTCCTTGAAATGAACAAAAACACTGCTTTGCATTGTTAGCTTAAACAGTATTTTTTTTTAATTATGATACTTTAAAGTGGCAGTCCCTGAAATGAACAAAAAACTATATGGAGCAGGGGTGTGTCAAACATATGGCCCAGGGGCCTGACGCAGCCCGCTATGGTGTTTAAACTGGCCTGCTAGATGAATTTTTAAAATAAAATAAAAAAAACCCTGTGGAACTACAAAAACATGAAATCAAAAGACGAGAGGGTTCAGTTCCCTCTTCACTCGACGCTGGCTCTCACTCAGAAGACAATCCAAGTCACCTGTGACGAGCCTTTAACAAGAAACACATAATGAAAAACATTAAAAGCAGTCATATATGATTTATGGGGACCGGGGCAGTATGTGAAACAAATCGCCCCTGTAGTGGAAAGTTTAATATTAAAAAAAATGGTAATGTAATTTTAGCTGGCATTTTTAGCCACTACGACAACGACGGCGTTCTCTCAGGCCTGGAGAACATGATTTATAGGTTGGATGGTTAGCGCTTCATTTATACCTGTACGCTCTGACATTTTACTTCCACGTGGACACTGTGTGTGGCCGTATGGTAAACAGAAAGCATTGATATTCTCTGTCCAGCGCTTTGCCCTTTGTTGCTATTCAGAAACCACAGGTACAGCAGGACATGCAGTTCTATTTGTACTTCACCAGCACCAGACAAATGGAGTCGTTTTGATAGATATACTGTATCAGACAAGTATCCTGACTAGGGATGTCCAATATTAACTTTTTTAATATTATTAACTTTTTTTCCCATATGCCGATATTGTACAAACCCTTCATTTCTGATTCCGATATCAACCGATACTGATATAGCGGGGCAGTGGTGGCCTGGTGGTTAAGGAAGTTAACTGACGCCAGCTCACTAAAGTGATGGGTTAATACAATCCCCTGATTAATAAAATTGATATTAAAAATGAGCAACAATGCTGCCATCTAGTGGCTTTCACTTTCATATACAGCTGTTTTCCCCCAAAACTATTTTTAAGGCACACATCATTTGCGTTATCTGGTTAGGGTTAGATATAAGAGATATAAACTGCAAAAAATGCTAAGAAAATTGCAGGACAAGAAAAGAGGTCAAAGGTCTGAGACAATCTCTACTGTCTGTTTCTCTACAGGACCTCTGCCTCGGCCTGGACACAGCCTCCCAGAATTCCCTGATGGACACAGACACATGGACTTGAACGTCATCGTCTACACCGGGACAAGTGGTTTGACTGTGAACTAGAGTGTGGACAGCAGGGAGGACCTGGTGAGCTCTGAATCCAAGGATTACAGCTGAGCAGCTTTCACCTCAGCATCACTGGTCCCAGGAAACTTCCTCTAGCAGCCAATAGGTGGCCCCGAATACAGACACTGACGAGTACAGCTGCGGAACACAATTAGATTAGTGCCACTGGCAGGCGACGTGCGGCCCACGTCAACTTCAAACCCTTTATCATAGACGACGTGCACCCGCTGGGCCACAGGACAGATGCTGCCCCCCCCCAGCCCTCACCCTTTCATCTATTGTCTTGTTTAATCCAGCTGAAGAGAAGATGAGATTTGGGACTGATTGGTTCTGTCTGTTTTATTTTATCGACGCCACATCCTCCCCAAATCGGTCTGTCCCACACGTTCAGCTGTGCAGCTTACAGTCCAAATAAATCCGCTCTATAAAAATCTTTTCATCGCCAAACATCAGTCAACATCTGGCACTGTAGATTGATATCATAAGATCGACCGCGATCATTGGACATTTTCCATCGTCACGTTTAAGCTTTCATGGCGGCCCAGACGTGGAGAGGACGATGTTAAAAATATCTTCATTCTATTTGAACAACACTTTTTACATTAACATTTCATCGCTCACCAAAAGGCGTTTTTTGGTTTTATCACAACTTTTAAAACTTGCCGTTTGAAGAAAGTGCAGAAAAGGAGAAAAAAAGAAAACTCCAGCAAGAAAAGTGCACGCACACACAATGGACTAAAAAGAGATTTTTTAAAAAAGACGCGAGAGAGTTGAGACAGCGGTAAAGCAGGAGACGTGAAGCTGTGACAAGGAAGAAAGCACAAGGAAAGAAGAAAGCAGGAGGAGAGGTATCTTTTTACCAAGGATGGATCGAGATGTGATGGAACACCCTTCTGGCCAAACCTCCTCCTCCTACTCCTCCTCCTCAGGT